CTTGCTCTTCAGTCTTTTCTTTTTTACATCAGCAACAAGTTTGTTTTCAAAGAACTCTATTGCTACTAATTTCAACCTTGTAATTTGTCTGCATTTCCAGACAACCAAATCTAAGTCTAGAATAGAGATTCATTTGCCAAAGGATTTGGTGGCAAAAGCTGTGTCGTGGATCAACTTAAGAATGGCACAAGAAGTTCCTTCAAAAAACAAACAAATGAAAAATAGTAGTGAGATCTGAACACGCATCTTAGTGAGAGAGGGCTGAGACAGCCCTGGTTAAAATTTGGAGTGGTGAACGACACAGCAACACAGAACAGGCGTGCAACTTTCAGTTACACTGAAACACATCGCACTTTGCCTTTCCCTCAGTCGCCTGTGAAGTGAGGTGGGTGATTTGCTGTGAATAGCTGTTACCTGGGGATAAACCTGAACAAATGCATTACATTTAACCCATCCAGCCCCCTCAGCCCACAGCCAGGCATAGTAACAGCTGAGCTGTTGCTCCAAGCTCTGGTTCAATGATTTCTAATCAGAGTTTGGGCAAAAGAAAAATAAAACAGGAAATAGCTCCTGTCCTCTGATTTTCCATATCCTCATCCCTCTGGCAAGCTTTACCTTTCAGGAAAACAGGACTTCTCACACACTTTATCCCTCCAGAGGACAAGCCTCTGATAAGAACAAAGAAGTGCATGCTTTTGTTTGTCCCCAGCAGAGCAGGGACACATTGGAATTCCTCACAGCCTCCACGAGGCACAACTTCTCTGTGTTGCACAGAACATTTTCTTCATAAGCAAGGAGGAAAGCTGGACCCCATGCCCCATTTTTAATGAGCCTATTTTGCAAGTGATGGCACAGGTCCACTCATTAGCTTAAGCCTCCCAGTTCACAGAGATAAAGATGCCCCTCAAGGTGTTGATGCCAGCCTTCCTGTGTCAATCTGTCATTCCATGCCCGCAGCACCACTGTGTTCAGAGGGCTCCAGAGGGTAATCCAGGATCACTTCCATAGAACAGGCTTAATATTTTTTCAGCAAGCTCAACTTTAACAGTGATTAAAAACATATAGTGAAGTAATAGTTCTTCAATATCAAGAGACACCTAGGTTAAGGAATTCCAGGAAATGAATTCTCAAAAACCACAGGGCTATCTTCTAAGAAGCAGAAAATTAGTTCCTCAGCAATTTCACTGTATTTCAAAGGGAGCAAATTGTGGACTATTTTTACTTATTAATATGCTCATTCCCACACTTGTGCTTCAACACAACCCTGTTGGCTTTAATCAAACCCATATAAAAACCCATAAAGCCCGTGTAATTTCTTTAAAGGGTGGAAGAAAAAGGGACAAAAAAGTTAATAATGTTATTCAGTAAAAAGCCTATAAATACATGACAAAACAGGGATGCAGTCTCTGCTTAAATTAAAACAAGAAGATATGATGGAGCAACAGTGAAGGACAGAGTGGTGATTTAGCCACAGACATATGCTGTAGGGTTGGGACAGAAGAGGAAAAACTGTGACTGTCAGAAACCAGGAACTAGCTCAGGAAGTCAGAGGAGGAGATAACTAAGGGAACTCGTATGCCTGCAAGAGGAAATCAAACCACAGAAATCACAGAGGAGATGGGGAAAAGGGACAAAGCACAGTGAAGAGCTACAGGCCAGGAAACAATGCATCTGATAGAAATGCTGTGCTTGCAGAAGCAGAGCTTGCACAGGATCACAAGAGCCTACATACCTGCAACATCAGCTGGGAGTTGAGAGATGCGTCCAACAAAGCTGCTAAACCACATTCATAAGGTGTCACATCAAACAGGAGTCCACAAGCACGCTTCAGTACACCTGATGTCTGCCTCTCACCTGCTGAGGGTAACGGCTCTAGCAAACGCTCACTGAGGTGAAAGCAGAGCTGCTGAGCGATGGGAGCTTTTGTGTTCCCTCTCCCCAAGACTGGCTACGTCCCACTGAACAGCTGGGTTAACAGGGCTGCGTATAAATTGTCTCCAAACGCTCCTGATTCTTCGATAACAACACAATAAGGATTTTAAGGGCTATCAGCACAAATCCGTGTCCTTACTGCAGAAGTCAAAACCTAAACTAGAAATAGGCAAAACAACGGCTGCAAAAGCCAGCTCCTGATGGAAAACAGCAAATTACATCAGCGCAGCTGCTGCACCTGACATCGCGATGGCACAGCAGCACGGCCGGTGCGAGGAGCAGCTCTGTACCAAACGGGAGAGCTGAGCGTGACGGCAGGGAGTCACAGCGCGGTATGCAAAGGACAGGTAGAACGTCTGGAAAAGGACGGCTGGTCCGCCCCGTCCTCTGCCGTGCCTGCCGCAGCACGGCTCTGCCCGCACCGAACTGCACCGCAGCCCGTGCCGAGCTGAGGCCCAAGGCAGGACGGCACTGCCGACACGGACATGGAGCCGGGCAAAGGTGAGATAAGGCAGCACGCCTTACTTTAACCGGGCAGAAATAAAATAAGGCAGCACGCCTTACTTTGGCCAGGCAGCTCCTCCTGATCCGCGCTGTCCCTCGGGGCCGAGGCGCCGCTGCCGCCGTCATCCAGGGTGAGGATGAGCGGGACGTCGTCATCCATACTGACGGCCATCCCCGTCTTCCCGAAGCTCGTTTCCCGAGCGGTTCGAACGAGGCCTTTTCCAGCTCCGCGCACGGCTGGGTTCCGTCAGATCTCTTTCCCGTTACGGCTCCCATCGGGGCTCTCCCTCAGCCGCCGGAACGCGGAGCCGCACTCCCTCATCCCCGCCCTTCCGAGGCTCCGGACGCTGCAGCGCGGTTCCCACGCCCGGCCGCTCACGGGACGGCGCGGTGCCACGAGGACGGGACGGCCGGGCGTGGAGCCGGACGCGGGGCGCTAAGCATGGCAGGCCGGGCCGGGCAGCAAGGCGTCGCGAAGTCCTTTCAGAGAGGAGCAAAGCGCGGTAAGGACGGGCCCCGACAGCGCCGCGTCCCCGCGAAGTCACGGCCGGCCCGCACCTCCCGCAGCCGCAGCCGCCGGGCTCGAGCCGCTCCGCCGCCCCGCGAGCAGCACTCGAAACCGGGCTGCTACGTCCCAGCGTCTGCCGCCGGTACCCGTACCCGTACCCGTACCCGTACCCGTACCCGTACCCGTACCGCTACGGGCCCCGCCGCCGCGCCGCGCCGCGCCGCGCCGCGACTCCGTCCCGTCCCGCCCCGCCGCCCCTCATTGGCCGCCCAGCGGTACACCTCCTTCCAGCTCGCCAATCGGCGCTCGGAGTTCCTTACGCCCCGCCCACCTCCGACTTGCCGGTCCCCCAGCGAGAGGAGCCGGATTGTTCCCGCCTCCTTTTAGCGTTTCCTACCGTCATTGGGCAGCGGGGGTGTTTATCTGGAGAAGAGAGGATGCCGATTGGCTTGAAGGGACGCGTGCGGCATCACGGGGCGGGCCTACGCTTACGGACGGGAACGAAAAGGGCGGGTTCTCGGGAGAGCGACGTGGGCTGCTATTGGCTGCGCGGTGTGAGGATGCCTCGCCTCTTCCGGTCAGGGACGGATGTGAGCGCGGCGGTCACCCGGCAACGGTGGTGGGGTGGAGCTGTTGGTAGGGTGTGCGGCTGACACTCGAGCAGTGGAGCGCTGAGAGTCGGGGCTGGCTGCCGGAAAGGCTCTGCAGGAGGACGCGAGTCCCGCTGCGGTGCTGCCATGTTGGGCTGCCGCCCGCGCGCTCACTGCGCGGCTCCGGTTACCTCAGGCGGTACGCGGGTGGCGCTCCGCCGTAGCGCGTCGCAGCAAATCGATTGCGAGCACCGAGCCGCTGCCTCGGCTCTGCCGCCTCCCGCTGCGATCGCCAGGCAGCGTCGCCAGCGGCTCGACGCGTCTGAGGCCGAGCTGACCGCACGTACGGCCGTGTGAGGGACGGATGCCGGCTGCGCTGGAAGCTGGGCAGTGCTGTAAACGGGAAACGGGTGTGCTCCTGGGAGACATGGTGAGAGTCGGAGTTGGGTCAAAGGTAGGGAGAGTGCTGCCTGTGAGGGCAGGGCGTGGTGTCTGAGTGCAGCAGCTGGTGCTGAGCCGGCCGCAGCTGGTCACACAGCAGAGCCGAGCTGCCATCAACCTGTTTCCTTAGATAAAATCTCATCATTTTAGAGGCTCCGTCCTTCAGTTTCTCCAGCACTTCGGCACTGCATTTTGCATCCTGCTCTTGGGTTCAGCAGTTCTCCCAGGCGGTTTCAGGACATTTACTTCAGTTTGTTGATTTGCTTCCCAGCATCCACCTGCTGCTTGGGAACTGGGCTCTCATGCGTCAGTTCTTAATCCTGCTGTCTCCATCTAGTGTCCAAATTGCACCTCTGCTCCTCTCAGCCCCTTGGAAAAACTGCAGACGTAACAGCCTGTATCACTGCCCCAGTATCCAGTGAAGCTTATCGGGCTCAAATTTGAGTCAGTATCCACGGTGCCTCCAAACGATAAGGGACTGCAGGAGTTTAAAGAAGCATAAAGGTATTTGGACAAGCACCTCTTGAAATATCAAATTGAGGCTTGTTTCCTGGCTTTGATTGCTCTGGAAAGGCTTGATTCTGCAGCCACATGCAGTTCAACCAGGGTTTGTGATAGCTGGCAGGTGTGCAGGGCACTTGCTGGAGGCTCCCCACTTTGCAGCTGCTGCCTTAGCAGGCTGAGTGTTGAACATTCTGCACCAAGGCCCATCTGGCTTTGAAGGAGAATCATACTGTGCTTGTCCTAGAATGGTTTGTCCTCAACTGGATGTGAGAGAGCATTTCTCTGGTATGGGAGGGGAACCACCAGACTCTCCCTCGCTACTTGCATTTCTTGATGCTTTTTTAGAAGCGCTCCCTTAAGTTTCTCAGAAAACCAAGTTACTCTTTACCACCTATGGGGCAGAAAGCGGGTAGGGATGGTTTTGCTGAAACATTTGGAGCTGTGAGTTGTGCCCAGGCCTGGACTTGTCAGGGCCAGAACACCCAGCAGCACCCTGCATACAAAACACAGGCCCCAGCAAGTTTCCTTTTGATCATTTATTTGGTTACAATACTGCACTGCCGCAGCAGTACTCATAACCTTCAATATAAATCATGTTATAAATCCAAGTCAGCACTCCCCAATCACCAGAAGCTGTCGAAATCAGCGGTTGCCAAGGATCGCAGAATATCCTGAGTTGGAATGACAAGGATTATCAGGTCCAACTCCTGACTCTGCCTGACAACCCAAAAGAAACCTCAGATGCCCCTCATGCTTCCTGCCCTCTGGCTTCTTCACCCAGTGTCTCCAGGATCCTTGCTGGCACCTGGAGCTCTACCTGGGATCTGCACCCCAGCCTGAGCCATGATTGACTGGCAGCCATGCCTTCTCCTGCAGCTGGACATCTGCTGGAAGAGGTCCTGTCCCCTGTGGCTCTGCCTTCCTGGCCAGACACCACAGCAAAAGGAATCTGACTGGTTACCTCGTCTTTGCTGAAGACTGCTGGTAGGTGAAAATTGCTGTTGCCACCACAGCCGGACATCACATCACCACAGCCAGCCATCCTGCCCTGCCGCCGCAGGGCTGCCTCCTGCCCAGCTTGCTGTGGCGTCCTTCCAGCGCTGTGATCGCTTTCTTCATCCTCCCCACGGCCCCGCTCGTGGCCTCCATCAGCCCCAAGTTCCAGCAGACGTCTTCGCCAGGCAGTCGGTGCCCGGCTCACGTAGATGAGGGCTGCACACACGCGGAGCGAACTTTCATTTTACCGCCACGGAGGCTTGGCCTTGCAGCCCCGCCCCGCCGTGCAGCTCCCGGCAGAATGCCCGCACGCGCTTTTCGGCCGAGCCCGGGGCGGAGGGGTGGCAGCTGCAGCAGGAGAGCCCCGCAGTTCACGCCTTTCTGCCTCAGCACGGCCTAAAGCGAGGCGAGGCCGATCCGAGGAGGCGTTCGGGCGCCCGAGGGACCGCAAGCATCCTCCGGGAGAAGCGGCTCGGACGCCGGCATCCGCGCAGCCCTCGAGATGCTCGCAGACGCCGGGCCGGCCCCGCCGAGCCGTCCCGGAGCCCGCGACGGGCCGCTCGGCGAGGTCTGGCGGTCGGGCGGCCGGCAGGGGGCCGCTCGCGGGGCCGCAGGGGAGGCCGGGCTGGCGGCGAGGGGCCGGCGGCGGGCTCCAGAACAGGGAGTGCAGCTTGGCCACGTCCGCTCTCCCCATCCGCAGCACCCGCGCCGGCTGCCGGCTGCCGAACAGAGACTCGTCGCAGTAGGACGGAGCACGGCTCCGCGACCTGCACGGGGAGACAGAGGGGACGGACGCTGGGAGCGGGGCCGGCCGGGATCCGACGGCGGCGGCGCCGACTGCCCGGCCCCGCTCACCTCCACCGGCTGCCCGCCCTGGGAACGCTGCTGCGGCCGGCCGGCCTTCCGGCCGGGCTCCCGGCGGGCCCCGAAACCGCCGCCATAGGGCGGCAGCTCCGCCCCTTCCGCGCCGCTGTGCGGGGCCGCTGCACGCTTCCGCCGCCAGCAGTGCGACACGAACGGGTGGGGTCGTGATGGGAGGGGGGTTGTGGTATGGGAGGGAGAGGCCTGATAGGGGTGGGTCGGGATGGCAGGGGCAGGTCGTGATAGTCGGGACGGGTCGTTAAGGGGGAGGTCATGATGTCCGGGGCGGGTTGCGGGCCGTGGCTGCGTCCAGTGAGCCCGCAGCTTGGATCCTCTCGGTCTCCTCGTGGCCTCGGCCGCAGAAGTGGCGTTTCCAGTCCCTGTGACCACCAGTGCTGATGTCCATAATCCCTGCTTCCAACAATAATATTTCGACTTACCTGTGCGTGTGCGTGCTGGTGAAGACACCTAATGGTTGTTATTAAGCAGAAGTAAGTTTTTTCATTTGATTGTTAAAAGTTATGTGTGACTTTGTAAAATAATGAGTTGGCAGGCCTGTTGCAGAGGAAATGTCCAAAATACTTGCATGGTGCTGACAACCTGTAATTTTCAACATCTTAAAGAACAAAAAGCAAAAAGTAATTTGTTGTTAATTAGTTATGCTGTATGTATTCAATCAGTGCTCTGCTATTCCAACCACATGGGGTTGCAATGATCCCCAGCAGGGAAGCAGTGATCACTGAAGGAACACGTGGCTCTTTGCTCAGCCAAGCTCGCTAAAGCTGGGTTTACAAGGATGTCACATCAACGTGACAGGCCCTGTATGGCCCAGGGAGGTGCTTTGCTTCGATGTGGAGCTGGGTGGGATCCCCTGGGATGTAGCTGGGCTCCTCCTGGGACTCGCAGAAGGAGAACTGTTTGCTCCAAGGAGATGATTGATTTGATTGCCCTGGGGAAAAGCTCCAGGAATGTACTTGTGTGCCCTCGAGAGATGGTTGTGTGGTTAACAAATGTGCTTGGGTTCCACAAAGAGATGTGTGGATGTCAGGAACACGCTTGGTTACCTCAAAAATATCCTTGAGGAGATGCATTTTGTTTTCTTTGTGCAAAGAAACCCACGTCTGTGTGCAGCCAGTTCTGCAAGCAGAATTGGTGGGAACTGATGTGGAAACATTCAGCAATGGCTTTGTCGTGGGAAAAGCTGAGATTTTAACTTGAGTAGTGGAAGTCCCATGTGACTGATAAGAGAAATGGCAGGTTAGGAGGGCTGGGATGAAGGTTGCCCATACAGTATCTGACAAAAATCCTCTCCCACCTATTCAGACTTGAAATGCAACAGTCTGAATCCATATCAATGGGAGATTGTTGATACTGCTTATTCCTGAAGCAGAAAAACAAAGAATGCTGGAGAAAGAAGAAAATGTCTTGTTATTTCATGTTGAAATCATTCATTTACACCAAACTCCTGGAATCTCTCTAGTAGACCACACGGGGAGAACTCATTGCTGTCTATAACTACTTGAAGGGAGATTGTAGTGAGGTGGGGGTTGGCCTATTCTCTTGTGTGGACTAGAGGGAATGGCTTCAAGCTGCAGCAGGCTGGATTTAGGCTGGATGTTAGGAAATACTGCTTTTCTGAAAGAGTGGTCAGGCACTGGAATGGGCCGCACGGGGGGGTGGTGGAGTCACCGACACTGCAGCTGTTCAAGGAACAGTTGGATTTTGTGTTGAGGGATATGATTTAGTGAGAACTATTGGTGATGGGTGGATGGTTGGACTGTTTGATCTTATAGGTCTTTTGCAACCTTGGTGTTTCTGTGATTTCTGTGACAAGAACAGAAGAGTTAATAATGTAGAAGATGCAGAGGCTTGTAAAGGCGCAGTGTGTTTCCATGAGCCCTCTGGTGCCAAGTTTCCGAACTGCAGCTCCTAAAGACCTGAACGGAACAAGTCTCCAAGTATTAAAGTCAGTCACAAGCTTCCAGGTTCTGGGGGTCTTAGTGTTTCTCTGGCGGCTGTCACTGATGATGAAGCCATGAAGGGAAGCGTTGGTCCAGGTATCTTTCCCTGGGGCTGAAAGAAAGTGGAAAGTAGTAAACACTGCTTACAGGTAGCACAGGTTGGTGCAGGTGACTGATGATGCCACCTGAGCCCTTGACGTATTTCACTGAACAGGACAGCCAATTTCAGACTCCAAACCCAGATATCCTGGATCCATCCCTGCTTCTTTTTTAACTCTATCCCAGAACTGAATTCCACATCCTCCTTCCTCTGCTTTCTCAAAGTACTCAAGTGCAACAAGACTCCACCATGCTTTTTCACACTGCCTTTAGCACACTCCCTGCTTTTCACACATGTTGCTTGATCTGGAAGATCAGCACCACATAGCCATTCACTCCCCTCTCCTAGTGAGAAAGGGGAGAGAACTGGGGAAAAAAAGTAGGACTTCTTGTAGGTTGAGATAAAATTATTTACTAAGAAAGAAGGGAGAAATAATAGCAGTGATGATGTTGTGCATGTATGCAATATCTACAAAACAAGTGGTGCGCAATGCGATTGCTCACCATCCACCCTTTTCCTGAGCAGTGGCTGCCCCCCAGCCGACTATCCATTTTAAAGCTTTCTCAGGTGACATCATATGGTAAGGAATATCCCTGGGTCAGCTGTCCTAGCACAGTCCACTCTCAGATCCTTACTGGCAGGACAGTATGAGAAGCTGAAATGTCCGTGGTTCGCCTCCAGTGCTGCATCCAGGTGTGCAGTGCTCAATGCAGGAGAGACATGGAGCTGTTGGAGCATCCACAGGGGGAGCACAAAAATGCTGCATGGGGTGGAACAGCTTCCTGCAAGCACAGGCTGAGAGCTGAGGCAGTTTGGCATGGAGAAGGCAGGCTCTGAGGTGACAAGAGAGTGGCCTTCAGTATCGAAAGGAGCTGTAAAAAAGAAGGGAACAAACTCCTTTGCAGTGTCTGTTGTGGTTGGACGAGAAGAAGAGGTTTCAGACTAAAAGAGGGGAGATTTAGATGTCAGATAAGGAAAAAGTACCCTTACAGTACCCTTACAATAAGGGTAGTGAAGCACTGGCACTGGCTGCCAAGAGAGGTGGTGGTTGCCCTGTTCTGGTAACACTGGAAGTCAGGCTGGACGGGGTTCTGCACACCTGATTGAGCTATAGGCATTCCTGTTCACTTCAGGGAAATTGGATTACATGACCCTAAAATGTCCCTTTCAACTCTAGGGATTCTATGATTGTCTGTTCAGCACTGCTCAGCAACAAAGAAAACATGGGTGTGTTGTCAACATTGTTTTTCTACCAAAGCCAGACACTATGAAGAAACTCTCCCATCTGAAAACAGTGCAATATCTGCTCCTTATTCCATATCATTTACAGCAAGTCCCACACTTACATCCTGATTGGTTACCATCACCTTTTCTGCCTTTTGATATATATACACACATATCACTCCTGCAAGTGTGTGGGCTATCCCTCTAAATCACAAGTGCCAAACCTGTTGTGCCTGGCCACACTGAGTGAAAAGGAATTGTCTTGAGCTGCATGTAAAATGTATAATGGAGTTTATGCATATATTCACAATATATATAGTATGACATAATTACTGTATATTTCTTCTGCAGTGAATATGCTAACTTATCAAATTATTTTATGAAATAGCACAAGCCCAAAATTAATAATTAAATAAGAAAACTTACGTATCTGCTTAATAACAAAAAATGTCTTTACAGGCAGACACGTGTGTAGATAAACTGAAATATTATCATTGTCAATCACCAGGTTCTACTCACAAATGGCAAACACGTGTGTCAGTGTAACATATGCATGTTAAGATCCGACTGAGTGAGTATGGTAGGCATGACAGGCAGTCAGCCCTGCCCTGCTCCCTCCCCTCGACAGCATTCCATAGTCTCCTGTGCAGGCAGTGCTTGAGCTATGTGCAGTCAACTCATAAAAATATTGCTAAAAGTCTCCTAGTAATGCTAAAAGTTTGCAGTCTTGTGGGGATGTGTTACTGACTGCCCAGGGCTGAATGTGGCCCACAGGTTGGACACACCTGCTCTAAATTGTCCATAGAGTTCCTTTAGTCCATGACTTTGAGCTCCATCTGTCATAACAGACCCTCAGGGCTGAAGGAATGATGCATGCTGTTGGATTGCTGCATGCCATCCAGTGCCCAGGTAGCCAAGAGGGCCAACGGCATCCTGGCCTGCATTAGAAATTAGAAATAGCAGGAGCAGGGAGGCAATCATCCCCCTCTACTCAGCTCTGGTGAGGCCGCACCTCGAATGCTGTGTTCAGTTTTGGGCCCGTCACTACATGAAAGACACATGAGAGGCACTGGGACATGTCTAGAGAAGGACAACGAAACTGGTGAGGGGTCTGGAGCACAAACCTTACGAGGAGCGGCTGAGGGAGCTGGGATTGTTCAGTGTGGAGAAGAGGAGGCTCAGGAGAGACCTCCCTGCACTCTACAACCTCCTGAAGAGAGGCTGTGGTGAGGAGGGGTTTGGTCTCTTCTCCCAGGCAACAAACAGGACCAGGGAAATGACCACAAGTTGTACCACAGGAGATTTAGATTGGACGTAAGGAAGACCTATTTCTCTCAGAGAGTGGTCAAGCACTGGAATGGCTGCCCAGGGAGGTGGTGGAGTCTCCATCACTGGCAGTGTTCAAGAAGAGTCTGGATGAGGAGCTGCGAGATCTGGGTTAGTGCCTGTGGTCAGGATGGTAATGGGAGGACAGTTGGACTGGATGATCTTGCAGGTTGTTTCCAACCTTGTGATTCTATGATTCTGTGATTGTATGATTGTATGATTCTATGATTCTATGCTGAAGCCCATTCTTGTTCCACCAGAATTCATTCTTCATTAATGTAGATGATTCTTGAAGCAATAGCATTGATAAGGCATATAGCAAACCTAGTAGTGATGACATGCAGTATTAGGTAGCAATTAACACAATACAACTGAAATCATTGGTTATGCTCATTCATCCTCAAATCGCCTTTGAAATGAGAGATACACAGCAGACTTCCATATCCTTCTACATGACCCATCAGGTGCGCTCAGGTCCTTGAGCAAAATCAATCCCATGGATAGGCTAGCCTTTGTTCAAGGCAGGAAGAACCAGAACTATCTTGTCCAGCATGTTATTCATGTGCATTACAGGTACTTTATTTCCTTTTACAGGACACAGGAGTTTTGATTGGGCAGGGCCAGCTTGAATGGCAGATTCCCCAGTGTTTTCTAACCAGGTGGCTTTTACTAAATGTGTGTCCGAGTGTTTAAATGTGCCAGCACCCGTTGCTCTCAGAACAGTCTTGAACAGTCCATTGTATTATATGATGTGGGATAGGCTGTGTGATATACCTGTGCATACTACTTGGCCCAGGTGTTTGTGGGGTTGTTTTGGAAAGTCCTGTTGTCTGACTCAATTATTTATGGGTACCATGTTACCACAAGACTTGCTTTTCAAGGCCCAGGATATGTTTCTAGCCATCCAGTGGTTGCTTCCACCACTGCAAGCACAGAACACTTATGACACTTGCCATAGCAGGTCTGTGGGAGTCTGATATAACCCACCTGCCAGGCCTTCCCATATTGATATTTCAGCCACTGTCTGCCATGCCAAAGAGGCTTTATCTGTTTGGCTTGCTTGATTACAGTACATGTTTCATGTTCGTGGATACTGTACAGTAAGGTTCTCCCCTCAGTTCCTAGCCCATCTAACTGTTGCATCTTTTCCTTGGTGGCCTAGGGTGTCATAGGCTCAATGAGTTAAAAATAATTCACCCTTATGTTGCTAGTGCAGATCTACTTGAGTCATTTCAGTCCTACTGGCCTGATCCACCTGCTGCTTGTTTTGATTCTCTTCAGTTGCACGACTCTTAGGTATGCGAGCACCTACATGAGACCTTTACAACCAAGTTCTCCACTCAGACAACAGTGCCTTTCCACAGTGCAGGGGCCAGATGGGTTTGCCACTGTGCTGCCAGTTCTGCTTCCATTGCAGTAAACCACACCCATAGGAGATGGCCACTATCCAGGAGTCCGTGTAGAGGTAGAGCATGGCACATTCACCAGTATCCGAAGCCTGCTGGATGGCCTTCACTGCTGCAAACTGGCCCCACTCATCTTCTCCTTCAGCAGTTTCTGTGATTTGTCACGTTGACTCTCCATATAGCAGCCTTCCACCTCTGATGCTTTCCCACAATGTGACAGGTTGCATCAGTGAACAAAGTATGCTGCTTCTTACTCTCTGCTAGTACAGTGGAGTGGAACAGTGGAGCCTAAAAATTCCTAAAAACTGGATTTCCTGTGTAGGTCCCTTGACCGTTGTTTTTGACAAAACAAGATCTCATTAGGATTTGGATTATTTTCTTCCCTTTCTCAAAAATTTCCTCTGCTGTGTTGCTTGACATGGTGATGCCACCAATGACTGTGGGTGTTCAGAAGCTTCTTCCTTTTTCAGAGCAGTCTGGATCAGCCCATGACAAATGGTAGGGCTGTGTTTCCACCTCTGGGGCTGTCAATTCCAGGCATACTAGATGTCCCTCCAAATGGAAGCAAAATGTGGCCTCCACTCTGTTTCTCAATCCAGAGGGATTGAGAAAAAAGTATTGGTGATGTCAGTTGTGGCATACAACTCGGCTGCCTTTGACTCCAATTTGCATTGAAGTTCTAGCATGTCTGGCACAGCAGCCCTTAGCAGTAGTGTGACTTCATTCAGGCCATGATAGTCCGCTGTTAGCCTCCACTCTACACTGGACTTTTGTACTGGACATATGGGGCTGTTGGTGAGTGAAAGGGACTTTCATCTTGGTTCTTCAGTTGACAAATCAACTGATGAATGGGAATCAGAGAGTCCCAATGGGTGCAGTATTGTCACTAGTGCACTGTTACAGCAGTGATCTGCACCTACTGTTCTACTCTTAGCAACCCCACAACAGAAGAGTCCTCTGAGAGACCAGGTAGGGTAGACAACTGCTTAATTTCCTCCATCTCCAAGGCAGCCATACCAAAAGCCTACCGATACTCTTTTGGGTCCTTGAAGTACCCTCTCCTGAGATGCATGGAGACTATGAGCCAGTCACTCATAATGGAGTCCTTTTGCCATTCATTCATAAACCAGTGTTACACAGTACATAAAATTATTATCGATCCAGTCCCCAGAGGTGATAAGCAGCAGCACAATTGAATATATATAGAGTAAGTCAGGTGCTACATAGCACACCTCTGAAAACAGGCACATCAACTCTGAGAGCAGAAAAATCAAGACCATGACGAGCAATTATGAAACTTAACTTAATGCTTATAATAATTTTGTTTTGACACACTCTGGTCAGATCTCTGTTGTCTTAACCTTTCGGGCCCCACAGTGGATGCCAAAAGGATGGTGTGGTTTGACAGGCCGGCAGCCTGCTCCTGTGCTTTGAAGACTTACTCCTTGAACAGTGACCAGCATTCTGGGCCCCTTTATCCTTCAGGACTGAATCCCAAGGAATTCACCTTACCATGTTCCTGGACAGTTCAAAGTCTGCCCTCTGGAAGTCCAAGGCAGCAGCTTTGCTGCCTCTTCCCTGATTTCACCAACAACTCTACCATTTTGTGGTCACTCTGTCCAAGACAGCTCCTGATCCCCACATCTTCCACCAGACCCTCTTTGTGAACAGGAGTTCTAGAGGGGCACCTCCCCTGGTATGTTCTCTTACCAGCTGCATCAGGAAGTTGCCTTCCGAACACTCTGGAAAGCTGCTAGATTTCTGCTTCTGCGCAGCATTGTATTTTTAGCACATATTAGGGAAGTTGAAGTTCCCTGTGAGAATATGGGCTGGTGATCACGAACTTCTGCCAGCTGCTTGTAGAACACCTCATCTGTCCCTCCACCCTGGTCAGGCTGTCTATTAGAGACGCCCACCAAGATGCCCGTCTTGCTGGCCCTCCCCCTGATCCCTACCCATGGAGATTCAGCCTTATCATTCCCAAGCTCAACAGCATTGAAATACTCTCCATATGCATATATATGCACGATATCCCCTTTTGCATCGGGTGCCTAAAGAATGCCTGCTTTCTAACTAAGTCTTAAGAGTTTCATGATGGATCAGTTTATAATAACATGCAGAGTAATGTAGTAGATTGCTGTGGTTTAACCCAGCAGTAGCTGAACACCATGCAGCCATTGATCCCCAACCTCCTCCCAGTCAGATGGGGAGAGAATTGAAAAAAGAACTTCTGGGTTGAGATAAAAGCTATTTAATAAGACAGGAAACAAAGAGAGAAATAACAATTATATAAATTTATAATTGTCATATCATACGTACACAAATTAAGTGATACACAACACAATTGCTCACCATGCACTGACAAATGCCTATCCTTTCACCAAGCAGTGGCTGCCCCTCAGCCAATTTCCCTCCATGTTATAGTTTTATCACATGATATAGGTTTCTCATATGGTACAGAATATCCCTTTGGGCAGTTTAAGTCAGCTATCCTGGTACTGTCCCCTTGCAGCTCCTTGTGTGCCCTCTCAGCCCCCTCACTGGCAGGGCAGTACAAGAAAATGAAATGCACTGCTCTGCAATAGCTGCACAACAATGCTGTGTTATCAAAATTGTTTTTCTCCTAAAGCCAAACCATGGCATTATTCCAGACACTCTGAAGCAAATCAAATCAACTCCATCCCATCTGAAACATGGCCAATAACCACACCTTATTCTGTCTTCGAAGCATGTTCAGGTCCCACAGTTTCCCATACATCCCAATTACCATCACTCCTCTTTACAGCAGGTATCGTTCTGTAGTTTACAGGTTGTCCCTGCAAATGGATGTTATAGAGAGTGATGAAGTCTTCCCTCAGCCTCCTTTCCTCTAGATTAAAGTCACAATTCCCTTGTATGCCTGTGCCTTATTTTCTAGTCCCTTCATCAGCCTTGTTGCTCTTCTCTGCACATGTTCAAGCAAGTCAGTAACCTTTTTGTAGCAAAGGGCCCCAAACTAAACAAGATATTCACTGCACAGCCTCACAAGTGCTACACTTGTGAGGGGACAATTGCTTCTCTGGAAATGCAGGCGGGAAGAAGAGGGAAATGGGATTTCTGTAAAAATAAAATAATTAGTTTGTACACTTGAGAATGATCAAAAGGGGGAAATTTACAATTGCTGTGTTTTTTTTTTTTTTTTTTTTTTTTTTTTTCAGTGCCCTGTGTTCTCCAAGAGAAGGGCAGGCAAGACTAAGTTGCAGTTACGTAACCTAAAAAGACACTTGAATTTGCAAACCTGAGATCGAAGCAAAGGGAACAGAAGTGCTGACCCACTTGGAAAAGGAGAAACAGTCCTCTGTCACTATTTGTACCTCCGATGGTGGCTCATTTCCGGTCTGACAGCACGGTTACTGAAAAGACATCTTGATTTTCTTCCAAAGATATATTAAATCTGTGTTGTTGGCAAACCTTTTTTCTGTTCTGAAAGTTTAAGAAGGTCATGTCATGAATACAGATGTATAACTTAGCTGAGGACTGAGAACATTCTAAAAGAAATCTTTTCTTGAAACTTGAAACATCCCTGAAGCTGCTGCTCTTTTCTGATATGCTTCAAAAAACAGTCCAGGACAAAATCTTTATGCATGGCTTTCTGTTTTCCAACTGAAAGCCTTTTTCAAAATTTCTTTCACCTCCTTGTTTCTGAACGTGTAGATGAAGGGATTTAGCAGAGGAGTTATAACAGTGTTTAAAATGGTGATTATTTTGGTCAGTTCCAAGGAAGCTTTGATGGAAGGCTTGACGTGGAGAAAGATAGTGGATCCATACCAAACAGTTATTACCATGAGGTGGGAAGAACAAGTGGAGAACGCTCTTCTGCGGCATTGTGCAGATGAGATCTTCAGTACAGTATATATGATATAAGTATATGAGACCAAGGTAATGACACAGGAGCCAAGGATGACAATGGCAAACATGATGAAGCACACCATCTCCACAAGGGAGGTATCTGTACAGGAAAGGATAATCCAGGGAGAGATGTCACAGAAAAAGTGGTTGATGACATTAGAGCCACAGAAAGACAACCTGGAAATCAAAAATGTGGGCACTGAAATGGTCAGGAAACCACCTATCCAAGAAACCGCTGCCAGCCATGTGGACAGAGTGCTGTTCATGATGGTGGTGTAGCTTAGGGGGTAGCATATGGCCAAGTAGCGGTCGTATGCCATGACAGTGAGGAGGAAATATTCTGTGCAACCGAAAGAAAAGACGAAGTACATCTGAAGGAGGCAACCTGTGAAGGAAATGGATTGACTCTGTGACCCCAAATTAACCAATGTCTTTGGGACACAGGCAGTGGTGAAGCAGATCTCCAGGAAGGCAAAATTACAAAGAAAATAATACATAGGGCTGTGGAGATGACGGTGTGTCGTCACCAGAATGATAATGGAGATATTGCTCATTACTGTCAGGACATATGCAAAGAGGAGGAAGAGAAACATCGTTAGCTGCAAATATGGAGAGCCAGGAAATCCAACCAGGATGAACTCCTTCACATGAGTGCAACTTCTGTTCCACATCCAGTCCTAACAAGCAAATAACGGACTCACTGAAGATGGATGCACCGGTGCACCCCTTCCAAACCGCCAGAGAAATGTTATACCCAACTTCACCATGGATTTGAGTGCAGTGAGAAATCAGTCACTTGGATCTGGATTCATTCTACTAAACCTTAGCCATGTTGCTAAAGAGACAGACCTAGGAACAGGGACAATTCTGTGCACTTGCCAGGCAGTTAGCCTCTCTGAAGTGTAATTCAACTTACCTCTTCTCAGTAGGGTAATCGGGATGGGATGAAGAGCCTTGTGGAGAAGACAGTATTTCTCTTCTTTGGCCATAAGGGGGAACTGAGAGAATTAGCTTAAACCTGGACCACAAAGGTTGCAGTGTATCCTATCTTCTTCTCAGCATTTTGGTATGATTTGAGAGAATGGAGTCGTCTTCATCTGAACTAGTTATAGCCAAAGGAGACAGACGGGCACTTAGAGGTGCAGTTTATATCAAAGCAAAATGTTTTTATGCTATTTTAATAAATCACATCCTAATCTGTATATCTTCCCACTGACAATGAGGAAACACTAGCAGCTGTTTCCAAAGGAGGTAGTTGAAATGTAGATTAGGTCAGCTCCTGATGCCTGTAACAGCCAGACAGAATATGAGCAAATTCAAGATCTGCTCTCTAACAGAACAGCAGAACAGGGTGCAGAAATGAACAGATGAACAAATGTGTATTTTTAAACAATTATTGTGCATAAAGCTTTCACTTTCAAAATTGATTTCATTTAAGATCATGAAGATAAACTCCAAGAAGACAGCAAGAAAAACAATAAGAAACATTAGTAAACATTAGTACACTTTTTTTTTTTTTGGTGAAAAATCAAAGTATCTCTTTCTGTCTGAGAAGAAAATGAATCCATCTAATCCTTCCTGACCTCTGAGGGGAATCTCATCATAGTGATGCACTTTTCAATGCAAGTTGTTAAAGCTTTGCCAAAGAAACATGGTGATTTCCATGACTGCTAAATTTCCCACAGAATCAATCCATTTCTACACCAGTTCTCTAACTCAGTACACACTACTTCTTTCATTCCTCTGCCTGGCTTTCTGACTGTAATTTTTGATGTATTTTTAATTAATTGACTATACTGGACTACACTGTCTTAGCAAAAACTGAAATTGTATTACGCCCTTCATTAAAGCTTCATCTAGGCAAAGTGCTGAGCAGACAAGGCACTGTTATTTCACTCTTTCCTCAAAACCCTTGGGCCCCTCTGTCTGCAGAGAGTTATATTCCAATTATGCTTTCCTAAAATCGGAGTGGAAGAGTATGTTCTGCTCTTGAGGATATAGGAAAATTTTCACCTACTCCCCTGGCAGCAGAAAAATTTTCTGAAAAGCATCTGTGTTTTTCCAGAGTCTTTAGGAAGACTGATTGATCCATAAGTCTTAGAAAAAAGAAAGCAAGAGAATTAAATTGGTTGCATTCACTTTACAGAAGCTCACATTTATACTGGGATTTTTAGAGGGGAAGTCTTCACACACCTCCTAAAGTTGACAAGGTTGCCAATCATTGCTTGTAAGAAATAATGTTGCAAAATAGAAATGAGAAGATTGCAAATATTAATGTAGGGCTTTTTAGGAAGATGGGATAATTTTGCTGGTCAGCGTAGGAGAGACATGGAGCTGTTGGAGCATGGCCAGAGAGGCCACTAAAATGCTCCAAGGGATGGAACACCTCTCTGCAAGGACAGGCTGAGAGAGCTGGGGTGTGCAGCCTGGACAAGAGAAGGCTCTGAGGAGACCTCAGAGCGGCCTTCAGTATCTAACAGGGCTGTAAGAAAGAAGACAGCTTTCACCAAGCCCATGGCCAACTTCCTCTGGGATATCAGGTCAATTTCCTATGCAAGTTATGCTGCCCGGATCTTTCTCACCACCACTGGAGCTCAATTTTCTTATCTCACTGTCATAGCCTATGACTGCTACGTTGCCATCTGCAAACCCTGCTCTATGGGACTCCTCTGGGCAGCAGTGCTTGTGCCAACGCAGCAGCAGCTGCCTGGGGCAGTGGGGTTATCTGTGCTGTGCTGCACACTGCCAGTACATTTTCAGTACCTCACTGCCAAAATAAGTAAGTCTGTGGAGCAGTTCTTCTGCGAAGTTACTGGCCACAATAAGGTGGCCATTATCCTTATATGATAACCAATGTACCTCACATTAGCAAAGCCCATCTTTTCTTCATAGTTTTTGTAGTTTCATTGTTGTAATTGTGATAATACATGTGCAAAATACATGCTGTAATATCTTTCACTTCCTCTTTAACGTCTACCTTTATTTTTCTCACCCTAAGTCCTTGTGCACTGATGGAGTCAGATTCCCTAAACACATAAATCAAGTAAGGATAATATTATTTTCCTTTGTTCCAACCTCTTCCTTTCTCCTCTGCAGGCAGGAGCAGGCGATGAGGCCTTCTGGGACACAAGGGAACACTGCTGTTTCATAGTCAGCTCACCGCCCGCCAGGATGCCTCCGTCATTCCCTGCAAAGCTCCCCTCCAGCAGGTCAGCCCCTAACCTGTACTAATGCATGCAGTTATTCCTCTCCACATACAGGACCTTGTGTTTCCCCTTGTTGAACTTCATGATGCTCTTTTCTGCCCATCCATCCAGCCTGTTGAGGTCTCTCTGAATGGCACACAGTCCTGTGGTATATCTTCCACTCCACCCACTCTGGTATCATCAGCAAACTTGCTGAGGGTACACTCTGTTCCTTCATCCAGGTCACTGAGGATTAAGTTGAACAAGATCGGACTCAGTACAGACCTGTGGAGGATGCCACAAGCCACAGGCCTCTAGCCAGACTCTGCAGCTGCTTACAGCTGTGAGCCCCGTCATTCAGCCAACTCTCAATCGACCTCACTGTCTACTCATCTAATCCACATCTTCCAAGATTGTCTACATAGATGTTATGGGGAAGAGTGTCAAAAACCTGGTCAAAGTCCAGGTAGACAACATCCATCCCATCTACCCAGCTAGTCATCCTGTCAAAGAAAGCTATCGGATTGGTTAAGCATGATTTCCCCTTGTTGAAAAAGTGTTGACTGTTCCTGATCACTATTTTGCCCTCCACTTGCTTTCTTCTTCCTCCTGATATATCAATTTTTTTGTCCATTACACCCCTTGACAGATTAAATACCAAACAGGCCTTAGCTTTTCTGCATATTCTGAGAACGCTCCTGTATTCTTTCCAAGTGGCCTGTCCCTTTTTCCACATTCTGTACACTTCTTTCTTTTGTTTGAGTTTTCTCATCATCTCCTTGCTCATCCAAGCAGTTCTCCTGCCTCCTTTGCTAGAATTCTTACTAGTGTGAATGCACTGACTCTGAGCCTGAAAGATGAGATGCTTGAATACTGACCTCCTCTCTTTAACTCCTCTTCCTTCTAGTGCCCCATCCCATGAGATTTCTCCAAGCAGGATCCTGAAGAAGCCAAAGCTGCAATTCTGTTTGTTGCTTTGCATCCTCCCTGAAAGAACCTGAACTCTACCATCTCATAGTTGCTGCTGCCAAGGCTACCCGCAAATTTTACATTTCCAACCAGTCCTTCATATTTGTTAGTGCAAGGCCCAGATACACGTCTCCTTCTTGGCTTTTCCATCACCTGTGTCAAAAATTACCATCGGTTCTCTGCACAGACCCACAAACCTCTTGGACTGTTTCTGCCTGGCTATGAAATCTCTCTATCAGATATCAGGTTAGCTGAAGTCCCCATGCATGAAGTTCTGCAGGGGTTGTGATTGTGAGGATGCTTCCAGCTGACTGCAGAATGCCTCATCAACTTCTCATCTCAGTCAGGTGGCCTGTAGTAAAAACTCACAACGTATCACCTGTTGGTCTGCCCATTAATTCTTACCCATCACCACTTCTGTTGCCTTTCCTGCCCCTCCCTGTCCACTTCCTTGGCTCCATGTTTCTGTTGGACCACAACATCTACGGTCAAATGTATTTCTTTGCTATCATCTCCCCTCCACTTGCCCTGTGTGATGACACAGTCGGGGGGAACATGTTACATTTAGGCCTGGCAGCGTTCATGCTTAATGACTGTGACAAAGTGGCTGCTGAGGTTGGATTCTATGGTACAGAGGAGACCTTATGAAGAAAAGTTGATGTTAAACAACAGTTTAAAAGCAGTGGTCTCCATATTGGTGCCCATGAAGAGGGTCTATTCCCCTGTTACAAAAAAGACCCACTGATATCAAGATGCACTTATTTTTTTCAAGCTGTTGCTGACAGAGGTCAAGTCAGTCTGCACTCACTCCCATGGGCTCTTCTGTACACTGATGCTGGCTTGGTGCTCTTCCTTGCTCTTTCTCTAGCATAACTGGCATTGGTCATGGCACAAGATCACACTGGAGATCTGCCTTCTTCGTCACATTAGGCTCTAAGACAGTGCCTTTCACTTTGCTTCAGTTGTTTGCTTCAAGATAAAATGGATTAGTTCTCTTTCACTAATATGAGGCACAATCCAATGCTTGTTGCCTTCTGTCTCTACGGCACAATAAATTTTTATAGTTTTCCTTACTCTGAAGATAGACCTGAAGGGTTTTTTCACATGGCTTCCTTTAATTTTCCCAGCTAGAAGGGAACATGTTCCACACTGGGAGCATGGGAGGAAGCTGAAAGGTTCTGCCTCAGCCACTTGAAGTGATCTGCTCTGAATCTTTCAGCCTTTGTTTGCCACAGATGACCTAAGATGGTTCAGAGACATTTTGGTGTCATTTGGTAAGAATAAAGCCAAGTTTCTGAGGTTCCCACTGGCCATTTCAACTGTGGGTCAATCCTAAGAGCCCACCAACTTGTCTCTGGGAAGGTTTTGTGTGCTGGATTGGGCAGTTGTAATAATTAATAATAATTAATAATAATTAATAATAATAAATAATAAATAATAAATAATAAATAATAATAAATAATGCCATCCTCTCAATATAATGTAACACTGCTTGACTTCTGTCTTGAAGAAATATGAGTTTTCAGAGTGCGTAATCACTGTAGAAGAATTATTGATCCTTCCCTTTACTTGCATTGCCACTGCTCAGTCATGGTGTGCATTTAGTCTTCTTAATCTTCCAGGTGCTTTCGTCTACCCTGATTATGCTGGAAAGCCACATTTCCAGAATCCTGCCTGGACATATGCACTTCCCATTGTTCTCCAGATATTTTATTATCTTACTCTTTGATCACTCAGATCCTTCTCACCTGCCCAGTTGCTGCTTTGAGTTTCAAAGCATTCAAGTTTGCTAGTCTTTCAGTAGTCTGTCTGTGTCCTTAGCCAGCTTCACAACGTGTTTATTTTTATTATTTTCCATCTCTCTGTACAAAACACTTCTTGTAGAGCTATCTGTAGGGGAAGATGAGCCTCTCTGGAGAAATACAGCTGAGGAGTGGACTGCTTTTCCTGCCTATCTAGTTCTTCACAGAATGCTACTTGGGTCAATATCAAGTGGAGGATGGTGCTTGAAAAGCACAAAATACTGACAAAGTTTCCAGTCTTCTATCAAGTTATGGAAGAGATGTGACTCATTATTGCTTCTGCACTGCAATGAGCCCCATGGTGTGTTTGGTACTAAGTCTACTAAGTTGAGGTATAAGAATGATGTAACTCGTTGAGAAGGTAAACTCAGAAGGAAAAGTTGAAGAGACTTGCAGTGTTAATGGGCCCCATTGAGGGCCATTACTTACAAAACTCCCCATGGACTTTATAGAGCAGATAATTGAAGACAGGCAAAGAACTGTGCTGGGAAAACTATCAGAAGGGCCAAGGTCTGATCTCAGACACTGGGAGAAGAGATCTGCCATTCATGCATTACTGAGGGCCCTTCCAGGGCAGCATGTGGGATGTACGGAGTGTTTTCAAGTGAAGGACGATGGTATGACACCTCTCAGCCTATGCAAGGAAGCAACAGGTCCTCCGTGCCAGGAGTATAATGCATCTCCTCATTAGCTATGGCTAAGGGATCAAAGATTTAAGTGCAGTTGAGGCCTTCCATCCTTGCCAGCGCCTTCTACCTGCTGTGCTGCAGGTTTTCCTGTGCTTCTTGACACCTACCTGAAGGCCCTAGACACCCAACTCCATTGCCCATCTTGCTCTCACCCTGGCATTTCCCTACAGTCATGCATGTGTCTCCACCTTCTTCAGCTGTTCCTTGAAGTACAAAGCTGTGAGCTGATCACAAACTATATCTAGGTGACCTCTGGTACCACAGTACTGTCCCCTTTTGTGACATTTCTTCCTTCTTGTGTACCTAGGCTGTACTTTTTTGGGCATTTTTTCCCCATTCATGCTTTTGCCATTAACGAGAACTCTGTTATCTTGAAAACCACTATTCAACAGGCATCCCATCCCATCAGCTTTCTCGTGGCCTGTTTCAGCTGAACAGAAGCAACCTCAGCACAATCATCCAAGGGGAATACAATGGGAAATCAATGGACCAGTGAAGGGGAAATCTATAGGAATTAAAGGGAACATCTAGGGGAAGGCAAAAGACAACCTAGGGGAAGAAAAGAGACACACTGGGTAGTGCATGGGTAAACCTAGGAGAAGACAAGAGGCAGTGCAGGGGAAGGCAAGGGGAAAGCAAGGGGAAACCTAGGAAAAGGAAAGTGATCACCGACTGGAAAGCAAGGGGAAGACAAAGGCAAGCTACTGCAAGGCAAGGTGCAACTTACGAGAAGGGAAATGGGAAACATAGTGGAAAATAAAGGGAAACCTAAGGAAAGGCAAAGGGAACACAGTGGGAAGGTAATAGACAGTCAATGGGAAACCTAAAGGACTTCAGGGGGAAACCTAGTGGAAGGCAAGAAGAAACCTAGGAGAACACAAATGGCAACACAGTGAAGGAAAAGGGAAACATCAGGGAAGAGCAGGGGCAACCTAAGCGAATCACAGAATTGCAGGGGCTTGAAGGGACCTCAAGTGTCCAACCCCCCAATAAATAGGTCACACAGGTAGGCGTCCAGACAGTTATTGAATAGCTCCATAAAAAGAGACTCCACAACCTCTCTGAGCAACCTCTTCCAGTGCTCCATCACTCTTACTGTAAAGAAGTCCTTCTGCATCTTTGTCTAGAACGTCATATATTCAAATTTTTGGCCGTTGTTCCTTCTCCTATCACTATACATCATTGAGAAGAGCCTAGCCTCATCCATTTGCCTCCCACCTCCCTTTAGATATTTAAAAACATTAATCAGATGCCTCCTTAGTCTTCCTTTCCCCAGGCTGAATAAACTCAGGTTACTCAGCCATTCTTCACAAAGGAGATTCCCCAAGCCCTTTATCATCTCTGTGGCCCTCTGCTGGACTCCTTATAGGAGATCCCTGTCTGGTTTGAAATGGGGAGCCCAGAACTGGACACAGTATTCTAAATGTGGCCTCACTATGGCAGAGTAGAGAGGAAGGATCATCTCCGTCGACCTGCTGGCCATGCTCTTTCTAGTGCATCCCAGGATCCCATTTGTCTTTTAGGTCACAAGGGCACACTGCTGGCTCATGACCAAGTTGTTGTTCAGCAGGACCCTCAGGGCCTTCGCTGCAGAGCTCCTCCCCAGGAGGTCATTCCCTAATCTGTTCTGTTGCATATGGTTATTCCTCCCCAGATGCAAGACTCTACACTTGCTCTTTTAAAATCTCATCAGGTTCCTCTTGCCCAACTCTCCAGCCTGTCCATGTCTTGTTGAATGGTAGCACAGCCTTCTGGTGTGTCAGGCCAGTCCCAATGCCCACAGTGTGCCCCCACAATCCCCATCCTCAACACTGGTCCCTCATTGCCCAAGTCACCAGTGTGCTCCAACCACACCCATTACCCTGAATGCCATTCCCTTCAACTCAGTGTATTAGATGAGTTGGACAAGCTGAGTCCTGTATGGGGAAACTGGCTGCCTGTGGCCTGGACAGGTATACCCTACTTTGGGTAAGAAACTGGCTGAGGGCCATGCCCAGAGTGTCGTGGTGAATGGAGTGAAGTCCAGCTAGCAACCTGTTTCAAGTGGTGTCCCCCAGGGCTCAGTACTGGGGCCCATCGTGTTCAATATCTTTATTGAAGACCTAGATGAGGGCACTGAGTGCACCCTCAGTAAATTTGCAGATGACACCAAGCTGGGAGGTGGTGTGGATCTGCCTGAGGGTAGGGAGGCCCTTCAGAGGGATTTAGACAGGCTGGACTGCTGGGCTGAGGTGAATGGGATGAGGTTCAACAAGGCCAAGTGTCAGGTCCTGCACTTTGGGCACAATAACCCCATGCAGCATTATAGGCTTGGGGACGAGTGGCTGGATGAGAGTGAAGACGAAAGGGAGCTGGGGGTGTTGGTTGATGCTCAGCTGAACATGAGCTGGCACTGTGCCCAGGTGGCCAAGAGGGCCAACGGCATCCTGGCCTGCATTAGAAATGGTGTGGCCAGCAGGAGCAGGGAGGCAATCATCCCCCTCTACTCAGCATTGGTGAGGCTGCACCTCAAATGCTGTGTTCGGTTTTGGGCCCCTCACTACAGGAAAGACATTGAGGCACTGGAATGTGTCCAGAGAAGGGCAACGAAACTGGTGAGGGGTCTGGAGCACAAACCTTATGAGGAGCGGCTGAGGGAGCTGGGATTGTTCATTGTGGAGAAGAGGAGGCTCAGGGGAGACCTCATTGCAATCTACAACTTCCTGAAGGGAGGCTGTGGTGATGAGGGGTTTGGCCTCTTCTCCCAGGCAATGAGCAGGACCTGAAGAAATGTCTGCAAGCTGTAGCAGAGGAGGTTTAGATTAGACATAAGGAAGAAGTTTTTCTCTCAGAGAGTGTCAACGGTTTACAGCTGGTTCAGCCCGGTTCTGTGAGCAGCGGGGTGGAGGGATCTGCGGATCCTTGCCTCCGGAAAAGGGAAAAAGGGGACCGCAAAATAATTGAAAACAGCAGCAGCGATCTGAGCTGGAACAAAGTAATTCACTAAATTCTCATCCTCTTGGCTTGTTTGATTGTGGCGCATGTGTCACAGTCATGATTTGTGCAATGGCATCCATAGTTAAGTCCACCCCTTGGTCTCTAGCCCATTTGTATGTTGCATCTCTTCCTTGATGGCCTGAGGTCTCATGGGCCCACCGAGCTAGAAGTAATTCACCCTTGTTCTGCCAGTCCAGGGCTATTCGAGCCACCTCAGTTTTGGCAGCTCGGTCTACCTGATGGTTATTTTGCTGTTCTTCAGTAGCCCGACTCTTGGGCACATGAGCACCTACGTGACGCACCTTTATAACCACATTTATTGTTCAGGCAGCAATGTCTTTCCACAGTTCAGCAGCCCAAATAGGTTTACCCCTTCTTTGCCAGTTATTTCGTTCCCACTGTTGTAACCACCCCCATAAGGCATTTGCTACCATCCATGAGTCAGTGTAAAGATAAAGTGTAAGGCATTAGCCACCTCTCCTGTTCAGCAACATCTAAGGCCAGTTGGACAGCCTTTACCTCTGTGAACTGACTTGATTCTCCTTTTCATTCGGTGGCCTCTGCAATTTGTTGTGTGGGGCTCCACACAGCAGAGTTCCAGTTCAGCACTGGCAGTCAAGGTGCCAGAAGAAGCTGTGTTTCAGTACCGATTACTTCAGGAGCAGCCCAAACCCCCTCATACATGGCTAAGATCTTCTTTTCAGTTGCAGTGTAGCCCTCTTCTGACCCCCTGTGCGCCCAACTCCAGAATCCCAGGGGTCAGCCTCGGGTCTCTCCTGAGGCTCTTTGCCACAAACTCCAAGTGGGACTGTTCTCTCCAGCAGCAGTGTAGAGGATGTTCTTCACATTCTGTTCCATCTGTACTGGCCCCAGGGCCACAGCACGGGCTATCTCTTGTTTAATCTTCAAAGGCTTGTTTAATCTTTTCAAAGGCTTGGAGAGGGGTGGAGGGGATGCTGCTTCTCTTAAGTGCCTGTATACTAATGGGATAGCATGGGAAATAAACAGGAAGAGCTGGAGTTCTGCGTGCGGTCGCGAGGTTATGATCTCATTGCAATCACGGAGACGTGGTGGGACAGCTGGCATGACTGAAATGTTGTCATGGAGGGCTGTGTGCTTCTTAGGAAAGATCGGCTGGCGAGGCGAGGTGGTGGAGTTGCTCTTTACGTGAGAGAGCAGCTAGAATGTATTGAACTCCACTTGGGGGAGAGTGATGTAGCAGTGGAGAGCTTGTGGGTGAGAATCAAGGGGAGTCTGGTAAGGGTGACACTGTTGTGGATGTGTACTACAGGCCCCTGATCAGGAGGAGGAGGTTGATGAGGCTTTCCATAAGCAACTGGATGTAGCGTCACGTTCCCAGGTGCTGGTGCTTATGGGAGACTTCAATTATCCAGATGTTTGCTGGACGACCAACATGGCCAGGCACGCGCAGTCCAGACGGTTCCTGCAGTGTGTTGAAGACAACTTTCTGATGCAGGTGGTGGAGGAACCGACGCGGGGAGGGGTGTTACTGGACCTTATTCTCACCAACAAGGAAGGACTTGTTAAGGAAGTAAAGGTTGGGGGCAGCTTGGGTTGTAGTGATCATGAGATGGTGGAGTTCAAGATCCTGAGTGGAAGAAGCAAAGCAAAAAGTAGGATTGCTACCCTAGACTTTAGGAGAGCCAACTTCGATCTCTTCTGGGACCTACTTGGAGCTATCCCGTGGGCTAGGGTGTTAGAAGGTAAGAGGGCCTCTGAGAGCTGGTCAGCATTTAAACCACTCTTCTTCCAAGCTCAGGATCAGTGCATCCCTGTGAGCAAGAAATTGGGAAAAAGAGGCAAGAGACCTGTGTGGATGAGCAAGGAGCTCATGCGCAAGCTCAAAGGAAAGAAGAAGGTCCATGAAATGTGGAAAAAGGGTCTGACCACTTGGGAAGAATATAGGAATGTAGTCACGGCCTGCAGAGATGCGACGAGAAAGGCTAAAGCCTGCCTGGAATTGAATCTGGCTAAAGTGATAAAGGATAATAAAAAAGGCTTCTTCAAGTATGCTAACAGCAAAAGGAAAACCAAAGAGAATGTGGGCCCCTTACTAAGTGAGGGAGCGGTTCTGGTAACGGGGGATGCTGAGAAGGCAGAGATACTGAGTGCCTTCTTCACTTCTGTTTTCAGTGAAAAGGCTCTCCCTCAGGTTTCCCACACCCTGGAGGATAGTGAGAGGGTCTGGGGAATGGGAGACTTCCCTTTAGTCAGGGAAGAGGTGGTCCATGAGCGCCTAGGCAGTACTAAGGTCCACAAGTCCATGGGACCTGAGGGGTGCATCCATGTGTGCTGAGGGAGCTGGCGGAGGTCATTGCCAAACCTTGTTCAACATCTTCATCAATGACCTTGACGAGGGGATAAGTGGCCACCCTCAGCAAGTTTGCTGATGACACAAAGTTGGGAGGATTGGCTGACATGCTTGAAGGCTGTGCTGCCATTCAGCAAGACCTGGACAAGCTGGAGAGCTGGGCAGTAAGAAACCGGATGAGGTTCAACAAAAGCAAGTATAGAGTCTTACACCTGGGGAGGAATAATTGCATGCATCAGTACAGGTTGGGAGATGAGCTGCTGGACAGGAGCTGTGCAGAGAGGGACCTGGGCGTCCTGGTGGACGACAGGTTGGCCATGAGCCAGCAGTGTGCCCTCGTGGCCAAAAAGGCCAATGGCATTCTGGGGTGCATTAAAAAGAGCATGTCCAGCAGGTCGAGGGAGGTGATCCTCCCCCTCTACTCTGCCCTGGTAAGACTTCATCTGGAGTACTGCGTCCAGTTCTGGGCTCCCCAGTACAAGAAAGACATGTACCTCTTGGAAAGAGTCCAGTGGAGGGCCACAAAAATGGTGAAGGGCCAGGAGCATCTCTGCTATGGAGAAAGGCTCAGTGAACTGGGCCTGTTCAGCCTCGAGAAAAGAAGACTGAGAGGGGACCTGATCCAGGTCTGTAAGTATCTGAGGTGTGGGGGGGCAGAATGGCGAGGACAGACTCTTTTCAATGGTAAATGGAGACAGGACAAGGGGAAACGGCCGGAAACTGCAGCACAGGAAGTTCTGCACCAATGTGCGAAGGAACTTCTTTACAGTGAGGGTGACGGAGCACTGGAACAGGCTACCCAGGGAGGTGGTGGAGTCTCCTTCTCTGGAGATGTTCAAGACCTGCCTGGATGCCGACCTGTGCAACCTGGTGTAGGGAACCTGCTTTGGCAGGTTGATGATCTCTGGAGGTCCCTTCCAACCCCTACAATTCTGTGATTCTGTGATTCTGTGAACTGGGTCTATTTAGCCTTGAGAAAAGACGACTGATAGGGGATCTAATCCAGGTTTATAAATATCTGAGATGTGGGGGCCATAGTGGTGAGGCCAGTCTCTTTTCAGTGGTACATGGAGACAGAAAAGGGGAAACAGACATAAGCTGCACCATAGGAAGTTTTGAATGAACGCGTAAGAACTTCTTTACGGTGAGATGACGGAGCGCTGGAACAGGCTGCCCAGGGGGGTTGTGGAGTCTCCTTCTCTGGAGATACTTAAGTCTTGCCTGGATGCCTACCTGTGCGACCTGGTTTATAGGGGGTTTGGTCTGCCAAAGCCCCTGCTTTGGCAGAGAGTTGGTCTCGATGATCTCTAGAGATCCCTTCCAACCCCTACAAATTTGTGATTCTGTGATTCCCAGCAACATCCAAGCACATACCATTACCATCCCAGAATATCCCAGCACCATTCCACACCATCCCAGCACATGCCATTTCCATCTCAGCACAACCCCAGCACCATTCCACACCATCCCAGCACATCACAGCACAATCCCAGCACAATCCCAGCACATCCCAGCCCCATCTATGCACCTTCCAAGCACATTCCAGCACATTCCCAGCACCATCCCAGAACATCCCAGCACATTCCATTACCATCCCAGCACCACCCCAGTATATACCAGTACTATCCCAGCACCATACCAGCATATCCAGGCACATCCCAGCACATCCCAGCACCACAGCAGCACCACACCAGCACCATCCTAATACCATCGGACACCAACCTATGCCATCCCAGCACATAACAGTACCATCCCAGATCATCTCAGCACCATCCCAGCTCAAACGAGTACCAAACCAGCACCACTCCAGCACATCCCAGCATGATCCCAGCACCTCCAAGCACCACCCCACACAATACCAGTACCATTGGACACCAACCCACACTATCCCAGCACACACAAGTACCATCCCAGCACCACCCCCGTATATACCAGTACTATCCCAGCAGCATCCCAGCACATCCGAGTAGCATCCCAGGACCATCCAGAACCATCCCAGCACAACCCAGCACAACACACATCATCCAAACGCATTCCCACACTAACCCACACCATCCCAGCACATCCCACTGCACACCAGCACCATCACAGCTCATCCCGGCACTATTGTGGTGCAGAGTCCGGTTGGAGACCTGTAAGCAGCGGTGTTCCTCAGGGGTCTGTGCTGGGTCCGGTCTTGTTCAACATCTTCATCAATGACCTTGATGAGGGGATAATGGCCACCCTCAGCAAGTTTGCTGATGATACGAAGTTGGGAGGATTGGCTGACATGCCTGAAGGCTGTGCTGCCATTCAGCGACACCTGGATAGGCTGGAGAGCTGGGCAGAAAAAAAAAACGGATGAGGTTTAACAAAAGCAAGTGTAGAGTCTTGCATATTCCATGCACCAGTACAGGTTGGGGGATGACCTGCTGGAGGGGAGCTCTGCGGAAAGGGACCTGGGTGTCCTGGTGGATGACAGGTTGGCCATGAGCCAGCAGTGTGCCCTTGTGGCCAAAAAGGCCAATGGCTTACTGGGGTGCATTAAAAAGAGCGTGTCCAGCAGGTCAAAGGAGGTGATCCTCCCCCTCTACTCTGCCCTGGTAAGACCTCATCTGGAGTACTGCGTCCAGTTCTGGGCTCCCCAGTACAAGAAAGACAAGGATCTCTTGGAAAGAGTCCAGCGGAGGGCCACGAAGATGGTGAGGGGCCTGGATCATCTCTCCTATGAGGAAAGGCTGAGTGAACTGGGTCTGTTCAGCCTTGAGAAAAGGAGACTGAGAGGGGACCTGATCCAGGTCTATAAATATCTAAGGTGTGGGGGGCAGAATGGCGAGGCCAGACTGTTTTCAGTGGTGAGTGGAGACAGGACAAGGGGAAACGGCTGGAAACTGCAGCATAGGAAGTTCCGCACAAATGTGCGCAAGAACTTCTTTACAGTGAGGTGACGGAGCACTGGAACAGGCTGCCCAGGGAGGTGGTGGAGTCTCCTTCTCTGGAGATGTTCAAGACCTGCCTGGATGCCTACCTGTGCGACCTAGTGTAGGGAACCTGCTTTGGCAGGGGGGTTGGACTCGATGATCTCTGGAGGTCCCTTCCAACCCCTACAATTCTGTGATTCTGTGATTCTGTGATCCCTGCATACCCAGCACATCCCAGCACATACAAATACCGTCCCAAAACACCCCAGCACCATCCCAGCACATGCCATTTCCATCCCAGCACAACCCCAGCACTTTCCCACACCATCCTAGCACATCGCAGCACAATCTCAAACCATCCCAGCACCATCCCAGCACCATCTCAGCGTATACCGCTACCATCCCAGCACATACCAGTACCACCCCAGAGCATGTCAGCACAATCCCAGCCCCATCTAAGCACCTTCCAAACACATCCCAGTGCATTCCATTACCATCCCAGCAAAACCCCAGCATATGCCACTACTAACCTAACACCATACCAACACATCCAAGCACATCCCAGAACATCCCAGCACTACACCAGCACCATCCCACACCATTCCAGAACCATCGGACACCATCCCAGCACTGTCCCAGCACCATCCCAGCATCTCCCAACAGCGTTCCAGCACATCCCTGCACATACAAATGCCGTCCCAAGACATCCCAGCACCACTTCAGCACATTCCAATACTATCCCATCAATCTCAGCACATACCAGCACCATCCCAGCAGATACCAGTACCATCCCAGAACATCTCAGCACTGTCCCAGCATACTCCAATACCATCCCTGCACCATGCCAGCACATAACAGCACCATCCCAGAACATCTCAGCACCACTCCAGCACATACCAATACCGTCCCAGCACAACTCCTGCACATCCCAACAAAATCATACACCATCCCAGCACATGCACATTCCAGAACCTCCTAGCACCATCCCAGAATATCCCAGCACCATCCCAGAACATCCCAGCCCCAACCCAGCACATCTCATCCCAGCCGCTGCATCCCAGAATATCCCACCACTTCGCAGCACATCCCAGTATGTCCCAGCACAATCCCAGCTGCATCCCACACCATCTCAGCACATCCCAGCTGCATCCCACAACATCTAAGCTGGTCCCAGCCCCATCCCGGCACAACCCAGCACGTCCCACACAATTCCACACTATCCCAGCACCTGCCTATCACCTTCCCAGCACATTCACAGCACCAGCCCACAACATCCCAGCCGCATACCAGCACCATCCAAGGACATCCCAGCACCATTCCAGGACATCCCAGCGTATCCCAGAACCATTCCACACCTTCCAAGCTCCATCCCAGAACATCCCAGCACATCAAAGCAGATTCCAGAGTCATCCCACACCATCCCTGCACAACCCAGCACCATCCCAGCACATCCCAGCCCCTTACCAGCACCATCCAAGGACATCCTAGAACCATTCCAGGACATCCCAGCATATCCCAGAACCATTCCACACCTTGCCAGCACCATCCCAGAACATCCAAGCACATCCATGCACCATCCCACCACCATCTCAGCACCATCCCATAACACTCCAGCATGTCCAAGGATGATCCCACACCATCCCAGCACGTCCCAGTACAACCCAGCACCATCCCAGCATCATCCCACACTATCCCAGCACATCCTAGCTGGTCCCATCCCCAGCCCAGCGCATCCTAGCACATCCAAGCACCATCCCAGCAGCATCCCAGCACATCCCAGCTCATCCCAGCACCATCCCAGCACATCCCAGCACCATATCAACACATCCCAGAACGTCCCAGTATATCCCAGCACATTCCAGCCCCAACCCAGAACTTCCCAGTACATCCCAGCACATCCCAGTATATCTGAGCAACACCCTAGCAAAATCACATCACAATCCCACACCATCCCAGCAACATCCCAACACATTACCACACCATCCCAGCACACGCCAGCAACAGCCCAGCCCCATCCCAGCATCATCCCACACCATCCCTGCACAACCAAGACCATCCCAGCACGTTCCAGCACCATTCAAGCAC